TATTTGGTAATTTTATTAGAGGTAGGAACAACTCTTGATGGTGTTTGTAGAATAGGCAAATAAACTTTGTGATAAGTTACTAGTTGGTTATTGATAACCTTGAGAATTAGACTGATGGTTAGGTAGTTTAGTTGGTAACAGTAGGTTGTTAGTAGAATAAATAGTTAAGAATTCAAATGGTCATAAGCTTTGGAATCTGTTGGTCGATGATCCATCTTTTGATAGGATAAAGAGGTTGAGAAAAGGGAGATTGGAGCTAGATTGTGAGAGTCATAAGTTGGGGCAAGCTTGGTGCTACCTCTTTTTGTTTCTTTGTTGTTGACGAATAATGGATAGTTTCTGAATACTGAGAAGTTAGTCTGGAGTGCCAGACTATGAGAGTCGTAAGCCGAGATATTGAATTCTGTGTGATGAATTGAGAAATTGAATACAATAGGTAAGCTGGAGATCAATAAATGAATATATATAAACTACAAAGAGAGTAAGTGGGAGATGAACGGATAAGAATATGGAAGTATTGTTGAATTGATAGTCATAGAATGGATTAGGTGTTGAATTAAGACGGAAGTAATAAGCCTTGGTGTTTTGTAGTTTGATAATTGATTTCAGATAGCTCGAATATAGTCAATTGTAATACTAACAGACCCAATTTATATAACCAGTCTTTCCCTGTGTTCGAACCCACCTCTATTAGTTCAATTGCTTTGGTATATTAAAGCTTGAATACAACGAGAATAACAGTGTTCCTAATATTTTATTTAAAGGAAGTTATGAAGGCCTCAACAACGATCAGATAACAGGATGGTCTTCCCGCCCTAGTATGAGACACTCTTGATAGTTAAGAGGCCCTATCAACCATCTTCGAAGAGAACAAAGATCTGAATATGTGGTGAATGTAATTCATCTCATCATAGATTTCTTCAACATATGATGACCGCTCCTCGTGGAACTCATTTCTAAAAAAGAAAAGTAATGTCATGGACATATGCATGTAAGCTAATAATTACCTGTATAAATAAGTAGAAGTAAGTAAAAGTAGGTAAAAATAAGTTAATTCTATAATATCTTCTATGGAAGCTTCTTAGAAGCTTTATAGATGCTATTTTGATTTTATAGGTGTCTTTAATTGACTTTTTGAATTAAAAACATGGTCAACAAGTTGGCCATGTACCACACATGTTGTTAGCTTGAAGACCAAGCTAATTAGGTGGTCCATATATAGAAAAACTTGCCTTGTAAGTCAAGGCATGTGTCTTATAAAGTCAATACATATTAGAGGTCCTATAGAACATTGCCACATAGCCCCTAATTAGATAGTATATATAGAGACAAGAGTGAAGCCTTCTTCATTCTTGTCAACTCCTTTCTTGCTTCTAGTCTAGTTTCAAGAGTCTCAAGTTTTCTTGTCTTTTGGAAATAAGCCTTTCTAGTTTCTTTTAATATACATACTTCCTTATTTCTATTTTGTCACTCTTTCTTTGATATGGATTTTATTGGTTTATGCATCATCTTTTAGTTCATATCCTTAACAATACCATATATTAATTATAAAATTATAGAGTGTAAAATATACAGTCAAGAGTCACCACTAAAGATAGGATCATACTAAAAGGATTAGCTCATACCTCAAAGATAGGATCTAGTATGATAATGCAGAAAAAAAATTGCTAAAATTCCAAAACTACAAAAAGAATCTCTCAAAAACAAGAAGTGCAGAGGCTCAAAGAAACGCTTTGGAAGTAATATTGGATAAAAGCACAGAAACATCAAATTACTATTATTGTATACTCACCATGAAAAATTCTTTGATGCAAGTAATTACCCATCATCAAACAAATTACCTCTCTAAATTCATTAATTTTTTATATTATAGAGGCTTTTATATAGTAGCAAATACATAAAATTGTTCAAAAGGCTCCTAAATTTTTTAGAAAATAATAAATAAATAAATACTTAAATAAATGCTTTGATCTTTTTTTATAAAATATTATAAAAAAAAACACTTTAATTCATTGCATGGGAATCAAAAGAATATAAAATTGTACAAAAATGTGTAGAAGATTTTAAATGATTGAATATCTTAACAATCTTATTTTATTTAGTTATGCATGGTAATCATTGATAGTATAAATAGAATTTGATCGTGGATCAAAATCACATGAGTGGTCAACTCTCTTGAGCTAGATAGAGAATATATATTCAATACCTTATTTTAGATTGTTAGCTCCTAATGCTAATAGGATATAGGTATTAGAAGCATGCTTATAGGTTTGCAAAGTATAGAGAATCAATGAAGGGACTAGTCTTTGGTGAACAAATCTACAAGTTGAGCTGAAGTTGGGATGTATTAAATATCAATGTTGCCAAAAAAAAAGAACCTCGTAGCTTGGATAGGTTGATAGTGTAGATTTTCTATTAAAAATTGATATTAGATGATATCCTTCTATATAGAAGTTCGCTCTAGAGCAGGTAATAAAAAAATATTTTTTATATAATTCACAATATCTTTAAGCTAAGTTGATAAAGAGTTAATAGCAAATCCATTGTTGATGCCAAGCGTGATAATAAAGTAGTGTTTAGATTTAGAGATGTATACACATAGATTAGTTTCAATGGATTTGAGATTAAAATTCATAAGGAAATCATAAAAAATTTGATAGTAGATCTGACTTAATTGCTTTAATTCATAGAGGCTTTTGAGAAAGAGATACATAAACATTGATGCATGTTAATTTGTGACTTTAAAATCCTAAGGTTGTTGCATGTATATTTTGTATTGAAAAAACCAATTTACATATAAAATTAAATAATTTTCATGTATTATTGTGCAATAATGGCAAAGATGATTTGAATGGATTTGTATTTGATAAAAGAGTTGAATATTTGATTGTAATCCACTCCATACTTATGTGTGTAGTCTTTTGTAATAAAATATGTTTTAAATTTTGGTATATAGCCATCAAAGTTAATCTTGATCAGATAAATCTACTTGTCCTTCATTGATTCCCTTCTAAAGATGAGAGGTATAAAGTGCTAAGTGTTATTTTTGAAAATGAAATAATACTCATTGTCTATCACTTGTTTCTATGTAGCAACTTTGGAATTTGTAAAGGCTTCTTTATATGTAGTTGGATTGTTAGAGATGTATTTGTTAAATACAAAGCTGACAAAAGATTTGAAGATGATATAATCTTATAGATAAGATGGCATGTCACAAATGCAAAGAAGTCTCAATTGAAGTGGCAATATAGCTTGTGTTGTTATTTGTGTTGTTGATGAGTTTATGCTCTAGCTTTGAATTGACAAATAGAATTTAGATCAAGTATGTGGCATGTGGTTGTACTTGCTTATTATTGGAGTGGTGAAAGATAGTGTGTTAGTAGGTGCAACATCTTTGGACTCCTTGTAAACTAAAGTAATTTAATTTCAAATCGTATTCATAGGCTTAGAGGTATTTGTATCTTAGAAATGTCCAATTGAGCCTTTTTGAATAAAGAATAGTCTTTAAAATGCTTTAAAGATGGTTTTTCTAAAGATAAAAAGTTTATCAAAAATAACCTCTTAAATTATAATCATTTTGTGTTAATGTGCATCCTATAGCCAATATATTATTATATTGATGTAATAACCAACAAAGATTATTTTTAAGCTTTGAGAATTTAATTTTTTTTTATTTGCCTTGGAGACATGTGAATATGCAACACACTCAAAAATCCACAAGTAAGACACCAAAGGCATTTGTTCAATTCAAAGTTTATGGAGTATTTTGTTACTTCTTGTATCAAAAGTAATGTTATTTAAGAAATTGGCAGCAGTTTGCATTGCTTCTTTCTAGAAGCTTAGATCTAGTTTGTGCTCATAGAATATAGTGCGTACACATTCTACTAGAGTTTGATTCTCTTATTCATCATTGCTATTTTATTATGGACAATGGAGACTTGTAAGCTCGTATTGAACATTGGAATCAACTAAGAAACAAGTGAATGTTATGCTTGAGAACTCCTCTCATTAATTATTGTAGAGTTGTTGAATGTGGTTTTGAGTGGCTTGGAGAATAAGAACATTAAATTCTTAAAACCTTTTGCAAACATCAAATTTGTGTTGAATGCAATAAACAATGGGATATACTAAAAAATTGTCTTTGAAAAATACGAAGTATTGAGCCTTTTTTAATGAAGCTTTGTTTATTAGTCTACCAATGTGATTGTAGAAAAGAAAATCAATCTTCTTGGCTTTTGGTGAAGATTGCTACTTTAGAAAGGATTTTTTGCTTTGATATGGATTCACCAAGGTTGTTTAGCTAGTTTGTGAGTTGCTCTATGCAACTTACATGGTCAACTATTGCAACATTGGGCTTCATTCTCATGTCAAAAAATTGTTGTTATAGTAGTTGTATATTTTTCATAGCATTTTGTTCATAAACTGTACACAAGCAATGCCACATTTGATTAGATATGTGACAATTCATCAATCTATGCATGAGTTTCTTGTCTATAGCAAAAATGACAAAGGATTGGCAAGTTACATCCTTATCAGTGCATTCCTCTTTGTCAACACACGACTCCCTTGGAGTTGTTCCATTTAATATGCCTAGTAGCTTCCTTGCACAAAGCAAGATGCTCATTTGTAATTTCCAAACTGGAAAATTTTCCCCTGTGAGTTTGTCTATGTTTATGATACCAACGCTCGTGAAATCTTTCTTGGAGGAAGTTTATGCAATAAAGACAAGGATTTGACTTTGAACTAATCAATCTGAAACTTCTTCTTGAACTAGTGTAGGTTTTATATGGTGACGGTCGTCGCAGATTTTCTCTTCCATCATAGTGAGATACAACAGGAAAAGGGGGAGGTGGTCAGGAAAAAAAAAGAAAAGAGACTTGAGTCTGTTTCTTGCAAAAAGTTAATCAAAAAGTACGCTGGATAAGAGAAATAAGCAAATTTTAAGATGACTAAAAATTGGCGTGGGACAACAGAAACATGTGCCCATAAACTGTTGATAGTAAATGGAAAAAGACAGGTAAATGCTTTGACCCTTGCTCATACAGTGTCATAGAAAAAAGACTTTGATTCATCACATGAGAATCAAAAGAATATAAAACTAGGCAAGGGTTTTAAAGGATTGTGTGTCCTAACAAAATGATCCTAACGATAATCAGGTACTAATTTGGGAAACCTTTGTTTGGAAACTCCATTAAATGCCGCTTTTCTGAACTTAGTTTCTCTGTATGCGAACCATATCAGAGAAACCCAATACTATGAGTATCAAACATTGGAAGGAAGGTGCAGCCTGTAGGTTCTTCGAAGCCTGTGTTTATCTTACTGAAACGGAGCCACAGGACCTTCTGATATCATATCAGCGATTATAACAAAAGCTGCAGATGAACTTGGATTAACTGAGGAAACTAGCATCTGTCGAAGCCAAATCGATGAACCATGCATAGACAACAACTAAATTGTCGGTTCAAACAAGCCTCAGTTGCGTTTCCTCCATAATCTCTTAAACTATACAATAATCGTATAAGACGAGTCCGGCATGAGTATGTACAATGCAAATGTTTTGCTTCCTCATCCAATCTACTCAAGCGCGCCTTTGAGGCATGTGGTCCATCGAGAATCAGTAACTCGAAGGACCCGCTTTGTCTCGCTTTGTCTGCGAAGACGTTGACGAAATCTCATTCGGTGGAGCCCTCGAGGATTCCTTGAACGATTCAGAGCGGGAACCGAACCAATTCAGATTCTCCTCTTCGGCGTCTCGTCAGTTGGTAGGCGAAAATTTGCGGTAGCTGTTGTACTGTCCAAATGTCTCGGGTTGCTGGTCGTAATGATCCAGGCTTCGCATCGCATAGTTGGAGTTTGGCGCAGAAGTATAATTGTTTCTAGGGGAAAAGGAACCTTCATCGAGGTCAACTTTGCCCAATGCGGTTTTGCTGCGGAGAAGGTCTTGGAAGTATGTCTGAGAGGTTCGGGGGTTGCCTTGTTGGACGTTGGCGGTGGGAGGAGGAGGAGCAGGAGAGATGCTTGGCGGAGGGTCAGAAACGGATTTTCCCCTTCTCTCTTCTTCTGCACCTGTCAGTTTTAGCACCAGGTCCATGAAATCGGTGCAGGTTGCTTCGACTACAGTGGTGGGGACCTTCTTTGAGGGACGCTTGCGCTTCTTCCTATCTGCGGTGCCCTTGGGGGATTTCGTGCCCAGGGTGTGCGTGATGATGTCTTTGCCGCTAGCCATGGTATTAGGGATTTAAAACACCTGCGGATGATGTTAGAATTCCCGGCCAAATGTATCTTCAGTTTCGAATCCAAGGGATATTGGTTCAGTTAGTGCTGCGGAGGTTTGAATATTGCTCCAGAAAGCTTCAATCTGAGTAGTAATGTTCCTGAATGGTGATGAGACATAGAATTCCTGAAAGACCAAGTAGGCGACGTAAGAAACACTGTGCCGAGATTTGAAAAACATGCGATTCACTCTTCTCCCAACGCTTCTTCAGATTGCGAACGTGCACTACAAGTTTGGACGATTTATTTCTCAGCAATGCACACAATACTAGGATTGCAGCGTGAGTTTTGTGCTGGCCTATACTTCGATCACAATGACAACTGAAATTCAAAAGCTCAGCTTCCGAAATTAAATCGAATTCAACGACACATCCTCGATCCCCAGGCAATCTCCCACTAAAACAGCTCTTAGAGGAACTTACAATTCACAATCTACTAACTAAGCATTCTTCTCACTTTCCCTAATTCAATTCTCATGACTCATAATTCATCACCTCCCAATTCCAATTCCTCAAACTAGAAAACCCTGGTCACAATACCACAATATGCTCCAAAAAAAACTCCGCTCAAAAGCTGTGCAGCCTCTCAAACCACCCATCAAAAACCCCAACACTCTCTAACGCTACAAACCCATCGATAAACGAAACCAACACGTCGAGAAATCGGACTTACTAGCGACAAGAATTGGCTGAAAATCGCTGTCTCGCATACGGAGCAAAAAAATTCACCTTTATACTTGGCGGCGGTTTCTGTCTGCGCCGCGATGAAACGGATCTCACTCTCGCTCGCACACACTCTTTCTACCTTTCTCTCACTCCACCCAGATAGTCAGCAAGGGAGGACTGAGAAAGACGATTCACTTGAAAAGGCCGATGAGTGCCAGCAACCAGAGCGAGTATATGCAGATTCCCAAGTCAATAACCACGCGCTTTGGTTTGTAATTGCATATCGTCCTAGTTTTCGGCGTCCATAGCACACGGTTTCCCTCGGTCAAGGCCAGGACCCTAGCGTTTGACGCCAGACCTAAGAAAGCATTTCTTTGTTGCGCGCGCATCCGCCGGAGAAGGGGTCAATCCGGAACTTTCCAACATTCAGCGGCTACATGCGCCACGCAGCGCCTGATTCGTCAATCTATGGCCGCAGCTCGGCGCTGCTGCGTGTGTAAATCCAATTCCAAGGCATCGATGGATGGAACGATGGATGGATCGATCGATCGAAGGAGGAAAGTAACGAGGGCATCATCGTCACTGCTCCTTGGCAGCGGCCAGTCGAAGTCTGAATCCATGCACCATCGTCCCCGCATTTCTTCGACCAGCAAACCCTAATCGCGAAGCTCCTCGCAAGGGGGGGTTCTGTTCATCCAAAGGTAGTAATTTCATTCATCGAACCTTCTGGCGGTAATCCTCGCGGTCTCGTCACTCGGCCAATATTTTGCACCTCCAAGTATTTTTGAATTTTTAACTTTGAGTTGTGTTGTGTGGGTCTGTTTTGATGTGTTTCCAAATGTGAATGTAGAAATTCTTAACTCTTTTTAGTTTACGTGTGTTTTCTCATTTATTTTTATATGTTTCATTAAGATGTGTGTGAGGAATTAAGATTGCTTTGATTGAGTTAAATCCAACATTTGGTTTCAAGTGGTGTTCTTCTTTTGCTTAAGGGTGTTGCCGATGTTACAATAGTTTTTGCTACTGCCACAACTTGCCACCCACTTAACCTGTTTTTTTGGTCTCTTTTATTCCTATACATTCCTATATATATTATTTTATTTTTTATTGAACCATGGTGAAATGGTTGTGGTGAAAGTAGCTAAAAGAAAAATTTGAATAAATTTTATATGGAATTGTGGTGGCAATAGCAAAATTTGTGATGACATTAGTGATACCCTTGATTTTAAGGTATGAAGTTTTTGTGTAATATTTTTCTTGTGAAAGCAGTTTTTTTAACATCAAATAGTAAAATTATGTAAAAGTGATGTCACATGGGATAGCTTTTAATGTACCTTTTTGGACATGATGCCCTGCTTTCTTTCAAAAAATGAATACAAAAAATAGAAGTTAAATGCACTGAACTAAAGAAATTCAAGAGGAATTATGGTAAATTAATCTTTTCCATATGCAAGAAATGGTCTCAGTATTCATGATTTGCTATAAAACAAAGTAAAGTTTTAAAAATGAGAAAACACAAGCTCTTTCTATTTCAAAAAACAAGTTTTAAAAGCAACAAATATATTTATAGAATGTCATTTTTTAGAATATATATATATATATATATACATATATATATATTTTTTAAACAAACTGCATATGGAAAAGCATCTTGAGTATATTTTTAAAATATCAGAGATCTAAAACAAAGAAAATTTGTTTTAAAATAATTTTAATTTTAATGAATTTTCTTTACTCAAATCAGATAAATTATATATATATATATATAAAGAGAGAGGGATATATATATATATATATATATAAAGAGAGAGGGATATATATATATATATATATATATATTAATTTGACACACTTAAAACTTATTTCCCTTCTACTCTTGCATTGCCTAAGGTTTCACACTTTATCACTAATATCTCAATTTTGTACCTGGTGATGTGCTAATTTTAATGTGAGGTGAGAGGAGTAGAAAATTTTAGAGGCATTGCAGATGGAATTGTAAAGAAAGACAACATGAAAGGTATGACAAGAAGAAAAGTTTTTGAGGATGCCAAATAATGAAAATGATTAACAGTAATTTATATTTTACTAACAACCAAACTAAGATTTAGGTAAGTTGATATAATATTTCTTTATATATAAATATTTTTTTAATACTTTAATCTAAGAACAAATTTTTAACTAAATCTTACAACCACAAAAATCTTACTTACTTTGTATAATTGATATTAGTTCTTTTTAATATATTCATTGAAAAAAATTTTGAATATAAATTTAGATATGATTTTTTTTAATGAGAAGTTGGCCTTAACAAATAAATTTTATTTTTGAATATTTTGATATTTAATAATAGATTATTTAACCCAGAAAATATTTAATATAACACATATGATATTACTGTTTGAAAATTATACTAAGTATTTTTCAAAATTGATTTTGCAGTTTCATCATAGTTTCAAATATTTACTTCCATCTACATTCAAATCTTCATACTAAAAATTTATCTACTTAAGGTTATTTTAATTTAATATTGATTTAAAAATTAACTTTTTTTTCATCTTAAATAATATCTAAATGAAATTAATCTACACTAAATGGGTGGAAAGAATAAAGTTTAAACTCCAAATTCGTATATATATATATATATATATATATATATAATATTTCCTTACTTTATTATTTTCTTACCATGTATTGTTAGTTATTGATAGTCAACAAATTTATATTCCAAATATATTGTTCTAATTTTTTATTGTGATATATCTTTAAAAGTATATACTTAAAATTTATAAAGACAAGTTGTGTTGAAGAATATATATATAATATAATAAAATGTTTTTCCTAAAAGTTTCACAATATGTTTACCATATTCTAAGATTGTTATTATTTCTATTTTAATATTCTGTTTTGTTTTGCAGATTCACCTAATCTTTCAGATGATAATAAAAATAACCCTTCTCTAAGAAAAAGGTTTTTCTTTAACTAAAATACGATTATATCTTAAATTTATTGAAAATATAACTTGTATTTGGTACACAAAAATGTTTTTGAAGAGCATGATTAAGATGTTGTGATGCATAATATATTTTTTATGTTGAAGTATAAATTAATAGAAATTTTTTTATTCTTACGATTGATATTTTAAATTCTGTCTTTTTTCTTTTGATTTTAAACCACCATTATTAATTTAAGTTATTGTAATCTCTTTTGAATTTCTACTTACAATATTATTTGTTGAGGCACATATTAGAGAATTATTTTTTTATCAAACTTCTCATATGACTTATTGTAACATCTCTTATAATGCTTTATATACTATTTTTGTAATAAGAATTCTTAACTACTTTACTATGACTACCATCTAATAAAAGCATGCATCTTATATTTAATGTTTCAAGAAAAATAGAAATTAATTTTTAATGGAAATATTTAATTTCAATCTCCGATTATTATTATTTTTAATTCACTATTGCATGTTTATGACCTCCTGTTTAAGAAGTTTTTACAAATGTTTTCACAGACATGTCACATCGTTTTATAAAATTGTCATACACAAAAAGATATTGTATTGTAGATTATTATAAACCACTGTATCTTCAATATTGCAAAACAATTCCGTTATGTATATATGCATATATATATATATATATACAAAAAAAGAGTAGACAAACTCTGTCTACCCCTACTGCATCCTTTGCATAGAATAACAATTGTATATTAAATATATTTTTATGTATATATAAAAAAACTAAAACATTTGTCCAAAAGGACTTGTTTCAACACACCCAGAAATTGTTTCTGAATTTTCATAGAAAAAAATACTTTATTTTATGATGATTTATATTCAATTTCACTAATTTAAGTTGTGTGCAACCAAAATGTCATTTGTGACATTTTACTTTGGTTTTATTTGAAATTTAAGAACTAATATTTTAATTAAAGATAATTTAACCAAATATTACAGTCAGTTGTTGTTATTATTAGTAATATTATTATTTTCTAATAATAATATATTTTAAAATTCATAAATAAAAATCTAATACTAATTATTTGAGTAGAATCTATTAACTTCTTGTTTTCCTTCTATTGTTTGATATAGTATCAAAAAATCCTCATTAACAAACTTATGCAACTTCAGTTCATGTTAGAAAATTTATAATCTTACAAATATATTAACCATAATTCAAAAGATTGTCTCTAAGTCACATGGACCAAAACAATACTTATGCTCGCTTTAATAACTGAACTAAATATTATGTACATAAAAGAAAAGCATTGTGATGATGTTTTTAACCCACTGATGAAAGGATTGAAAGATTCAAAGAATAATAATTTATAATTGCAAACATCTTACATCCAATCATGTAGTAATCAATATTATATGTTGTAACTAATTAAAATCATAATGAAATTAAAATACTTTATGTGTTCCATAGTTGAGATTTGAGTTAATAACATAAATATAAAAACGTGTTGTCAAATATCAAAATTTATCTTGACACATGATTCAGTTGTTGTTATTAAGAATAATTTAGTACATTCAAAAAAATATATGTCATCAAGTCTCGAATTTCAAAAAAATCGATTTTGGAAGCAATTATTTAAAGATAATTAACATAATGAATAATTATAAAACTTCAATACACATCAATAAGTTTGAAAAATGAAAATAATTTGGTGTTATGATAAGATTTAAAAACTGAGTAAATTAAAATAACTCAATCAAATAATTTCTTACTTAAAATAAAAATCCTAAATTGCTATATCTCCAAAGTTGATTGTAGATTATTATTTTTTATCATGACTAAAAATTAATATTATGAACTAATTGTCTACAAAGAGATCACATGGGTGTAGTGATATCAATTGGGAATGTAGCATTAATATTTCTCTCTATCTATCTATATACATCTCCATCTTCACAGCAAACCCCATTTCAATTTGTACTCTCAACTTGTCCAATTCTTTAACTCCTAAGTGAAGTTTCCAACCACCACTTCGAAGCAATTTATTGCAAACTTACAACAGAAATAATTTAGTTCTTTTAAAGAAATCAGGCTCTCAGACATCATACATCACACGAGACAGACTGACACCAAAGGTGGGTCACACGAAAAAAGAAAAGAAGAATGCTTAACAAATTCTATGGGATAACACAAGAGCCGAATCCACTGCAAAAGCATGAAATCAAAACATATATGAAATACACACTCAATGTGACAGGCTTGGTTTTGTAAATAATATTGTCAACATCGTTGTCGATGAGCTCGTGTTTTAGGGTAATCGATGAAATTGTGTTGTGATTCTACAAAGTGGGCAATCCTACAAATCAATTTGTTTGTATGAGATGGGGAGTGACAGTGTTTCTGACACCGAAGCAAACGCTGCCAAGGCATGGCGACTGCAAGATTCTGCAACAAGGTGAAGCCAGATCTGCGGCGTGGAAACCGGGAAGCAGCAATCTCTAACCTGCTCGAAGAAATCGTATATCTTGTAGGAATCGAGATTTCTTTATTACACGGCGATGCCCAGCTGTGTGCAGACCGACACCATTGGGACCAGCATCAAGGGTCGTAAACAATCTGCTGCTATACCCAATGGTAGACATTGCAACAGAAGAGGTATGAGGAGAGCAGACGTTGTGGGGATCGATAACTGTGGAATCGAGAGCCTGGTCTTGTGGGGATTGCTGACTGTGTCGACGTTGGGAAAGCTGGGTTTCTAGAACCCAGTTAGTTGATGGGAGTCAGAGAGAGAGGGTGTGTTGGAAACTGCGTTGATTCAGGAGCCTTGTCTTGTGCACCACGCCTTGGCACAGCATCATGATCAGTCCCCCATATTGCTGCAGAAAGGTGGGGTTCAGGAGCTGACAGCCCCTGGTAGAGTGTACGCTCTACAGATTCAGCGAAATCTTACCGGCCATTAATTGCCAAAATCGAGTGCCGTTTCTCCACTGAAAGTCGGGGTCTGTGACGCTTGCAAAACATACCACGCTCCAATGCGCCACAGCGAAAGCCCTAATGACGATGGCGTGATGTTCCACATGCTTCGTCATTCAATTCAAGTGAGACGAGAAGAAATGCGGGTGCCTTGGGTGCCACGCAGATCCCAATGCTAAAAAAAACAATTTGAATACTGTAAGTCCAAGGAACGATCTATTCATTCCAGTGAAGCGTGGTAGATACACAGAAAAAAAAAAAAAAAAAAAAGAAAAAAGAGGGGGGGGGGGTATATTTGGTGGGACCTAGAGTAGGAGAGTGTAATACCTTCGCTATCTATCTAACGTGGAGAACCCAGGGCCGCACGTCCTGGTTCAATTGGTTAGTTTCTGAAGCCGATTGGTGACGACAAGTTGTACAAACGCAACTGACACTAGACGTAGTAATACAAGGCAAGCACAGCCAGAGTAATCACCTGCACGGAGATGCAGCTGTGTGCAGAATTGAGCCAAAAGCGATGTGATACTGGATGTCATCTGATATCTGCTGTGGAGTTTTGCTCTTGGTATCCTCCCGCGCCTCGCTTCTTCCAGAAAGAGGAGCTTCGGGCAGAAGCCTTAGCAGGTGCCAACGAGGATGCAAAGCTCGTGTCCTTGAACCAGTAGCCATCGACTGGAATCGTCGAATTGACATCTCCGGGATCTTTTACAATCGTACAAACCTCCTCGCCAGGTTTGGACGAGACGAAAGTGCCGAGGAACTGGTTTACTCGGGCTTGCTCCGTGGAGACATCGGCACCGCCCCACGGCGGATCCATTACAAACTGGTGGTGCACGGCGTAGACTTTCCTCGGACTGACAATGTGCCTGCGCTCACCTTCTCCGCCTGGACAAGGCGCGGGGTGGTTCCTGTTGCCACAGTTCGGCAATGCGAGACGAAATATCATTCTATCCGTGGTCCACTGGTCGGTGGTGTTGTCGGCAGTGGCACAGTATGCCGAGCTCCACCGCTGGTTGCCGAAGGCAATGAAAGGCTTGTCGCTGTTATCGCGTACAACGTCAAGCAGGTGGTGCGGGGAGAACGTCTGAAGGAACTCGTGGAAGTCCCAGAGTACTGCCCAGTCTGCGAAGAAACGTGATCTTTGCACGCAGTCGTTGCGCGACAAGTGAGTGCTCGGAAACTGAGATGGTCCGCCGACGAGGTCCATGTCCGCGCTCAAGTCGACCACGGTGGCCATGTGTTGGTCGAGGAGGGGTTGCAACACGCGGCGCGTCGGCTCGTCAAGCGCTACTCCAGCGTAGAAGAAGTAATGGATGCGCTCTGATCCGAGGAGATGGTGATGGTACACCAACCATTCCTTGAGGTGATCTGCGTTAAGTTTCCCCCAAATGGGAGGAGTACACACAGCGAAACGGCGATCCAAAGGCCCTTCGAACTGGATCTTATCGATGGACTCCGGAGGCTCACTCAAAAGAGGAATGTACTCACCCGCCGATGAGTTCATAAAGAGATGGCCGCCATAGCCATTTGAGCCGGCAGGATCCCCAAATTTGCACTTGACAACAATCACAACGTATGGAGAATCGCCATCCTTTAACAAGATGGTCCGTTTCTGGCCATACTGCACCCCACGACCATCTTTCTTCCTCTCCATAGGCGAGGAAAAGCCCGTTTCAGAAGCAGCATCCCACTCTACCCAACTGCAAGAATCCTCTTGCGCTTCAAAAAACGACGGAGGAAGGAGGCTGGGAGCTGCGAGGCCCACTGCCGTGAACTCATCAAGACCAAACCGAAATGCGCTGAAGCTCATAAGAGGGTGAAGAGGCCGCCCAGATACTCGAAACTTGTAATCACCTTGCCGTGGCGCCATAACAGGCGTCATCTCCGCAGTCTTGGAATGCAAATCCGGGCAATCCTTTTTCCTCCCTACGCGTACGACATCCAGTTCAAACCTTGAGAACAGGGAATTGAGCAAACCTTGAAAGGCTACTGAGCAATAGAATTGTCGGCATTCACAATGAAGACAAAAATAGAGGGAAAGATGAAACTGTGCCCATACCTTCACCCTTGTATCCCTTGAGCTTGAGCTTGAGCTCCGCCACCTCAAGCTTTATCTCCTCCATTTGCTGGAGCTCCTCAATAACTTCAGTTAATATCTCGCCGGTGGGTCCGTCTAAGGCGCTGCTGATGTCCAGCCGCGCACCTTGCGAGTGATCGGCAATAATGTTCCTCGCGTCAGTGTCGGTACCGTTCACGATTACCACTAAGCCTCGGTCCACGGCGTCTCTCACCAGCTCCCGCAACGACCTCTCGGAATCCCCTGACGAGACCGGCACTGCGGTAGGTAGCTCCGGGAGGGTCGCGGGATATCTCTTGGTCGCGGGGAACTTGACAGTTTCAGGCTCGTAAATTTGCGAGAGGCCATGTGTGTCAGTCACTCGCAGCACTTGTCCCTGGCGCGAATGCAACCTGTTACTACTGTAAAAGCTGAACCCCGCGAGCATAAGTGCGCCCAGAAACGCAAACACGATCGGTAATCTTCGCAACGTGCGGTGGAAGCCGCCCACAAGCTTGCGGCTCATCTTGCACCAATTCGATCAATCTTGAGAAACGTCGATCGTGCACGCATTCTGAGAAATCACTCGCTACCACGGTGGATGTCTAAAACCCGAGACATTGCTAACCGATGTGGATCCCTGAGGAACCAAAGCCAAAGACGTGAAAACTTGTTAGGATGCAAAGTCGATGAGCACGAAGCTTACGTCTAAATGAGAGCACCATTGCAGCTTCTTGGGCTGTTGTTCGAAGACAGCAACCTACACACAGCTCAAGAAGATCTCAACTGCCACTGCGCTAAGGGGACTACCACTTCACGCATTGTTATTATGAGTTCCCCGATCGGCCACTTCATGTAGCCTTGCAGGATACGGACCACGGGTAACGGCCTAATCGAGTGCCCGCGTACATCTCACTCGATTCCGCAAAACGACCTCGACGGCATGATTCGGTCGACGCACCCATGCCTCGCCACGAGGAGAAATGTAGGTCACGAGATACCTTGCAAAAAGACCCACGCGTGTATCTGCAATGTCTAAAGAAGCTCACAGACTACAAGACCCGCTGCGGGTGAGCTTAAGCCCGCCAAATAAGGTTCGCACGCGAGAGCTAAATGAGGGAACTGTTCATTCGTTTTAAAATAACCCACAGCCGATCATTACTCTAAAATTAGCTTCTCAAAAGGTGCTCTTTAAGTCCGATCCGCAAGTCGTTGAAACGCGATGTGTCATAATGTGATTGGGTGCGACTCAATTGAACTAGGACGAAATGAACTGTGGAAGAGTATTGTGACGAACTCTGTCACTAGCAAGGCAGGATTCTGCCTCAGAAAACTTGCGACAAAAATTGAGCTCGAATGCTCAACTGATTCAGCAGTTCATGGCTTTTCACTCCGTCATCGTCTGTTTCGATCTCTTGAGCTGTGAAGTTCGGGAAGTGTGATATAAATGAAAGTGGGGGCAAAAGAGGCCACCACACGGCCAGGAAAGCAATATCGGCATGGGAACGGGAAGCCAAATGCGGGCACCACTTGCACAAGGCAATTTGCATCAGCAGAGGGCGTAGCGAAATGGTCCGCAAACTACAGGTGGAACGTGTTAAGCGTAGAACTGAAATGCTCCAGTGGGCTCGAGCTCGACCATAGCAACCACATTTCATCTCTAGATACATGTAGCGTACCCACGACAGCCCAAAAAAAACAGAAAAAAAGAAAAGAAAAGAAAAAGCTATTTTTTCAACTACTACTGACAAGTGCCCACGATCAAGTTACAGTCTGACCCCAAGACTCCGGCACATCGTCAACAGAACGACGCACACATCAACTACCCCATTCGGGGATTCGGAATCAAAGATCAGCCAGCAACAGTGGAGAGAAGACCACACAAAAACAATCATAAACCATAAACGAATCCAGATCCTCTAAACACAAAATAAACCCATAAATCAAAATCCTTCTACTTTGAACAACACCAACCAACCATATCCTTACACATGGGAATCGTCCACGCAAGACACCAGTCACTACAACCGTACCGCGCCACCGCCGCCACCCTCCCCCCCTCCCCCCCAAATTCCTTCAACCTGAGGGGTAAAATTGTCCGCTGTAAACAACTCCATATTTGCAGTCATACATACATACATGCCCTACAACGCCAACTTCGTACTGATCCAGGCAGAGAGTAGGGTAGCAGTTGGAGAGATGCGCCGCTACAGTCCAGGTGAGAAGAGAGTAGGAGGACCCGTTAAATCTATCGATCTCCAACCAACCAATCAACCCACACCACATATACCCCCCCCCCTTCAAATTCCACTCACTCTCTTAGTCCCCGAGGTCTTCGTTTCTGCCGCTGTAGCCAGCCCCGCATCGGGTTGCGTGAGGCTTCAGTTACACGCCCTGCAAGCCGGACCAGGTTGGGTGGGGTCTGGTACAAGTTCGGAGCCAAGGCGTCGAGAAAGAGGGAGGTATGTAGGTAGGTAGGTACGTGGGGGTAGGGGAAAGGAATGAAACTTCGCCAGGGACGGGCAGGTGAGAAAGGGGAAGTAGGGGGGGCAGCGCGGGTGAAGGAAGGAAGCGGGGGATGGGTCGGATGAAACCCTCGCCATGGAATCCACGCGGACAAAGGTCCAGCCACGTGGACTAAAGGGCCCCATGCAAACTCCCCTCTCTCCATAGTGGGTTTGGATGCCCGCGCTTTTGAGTGGGGGGGGGGGTGTAATGCCGGGTTTGCCATACCTAACCCCGTGCCATTTACCTACTCCCTTCTTCTTCTTCTCTTTTGGCTTCTTGAAGGGCTCTTCTCCCCTTCACCCACCATATTGTCAAAAAAAAAAAAAAAAAAAAAAAATACAATACAAAAATGATACAAAAAAAAAAAAATCCTAAATCTAACACTTTCCATTATTTGAGAGAACCAAAATGCAATTTCCTATTAATTTATGTAAAACCTCATTGAAGATATTCCAACATTTGTCACTACTATGACATTCTCTTTGATATTCAAATGTTTGATTTTATTTTTTATTTTTTTTCTTATTAATTTTTTTTGGTGATTATTCACAAATCAGTAATTTCGATTGAATTTATTTTGTTTTTTTTACTCTTGAACTAAAGTCTTTCTAGGCTTCATAGAATATGAATTTGTTTGTAATGAATAAATATGTATATAACTAGAATAAATCTTTTAAGATTTTAGAATGTGTTTGATAGTATATATATATATATATATATATATATATATATATAAAATCAATTTAAATTTAAAAAGATAAGTATATTTTGATTATGATCAAATATAAAAACTTAAAATCTATAAGAATATCATATATATTCCTCAAACATTCTAAAATATCAAGAATATTTTTGCATTCTTGATAATAGCAAATACATCCTCAAATATGATAAGGTATTATTAATCTGACAAAAGAATAACAATTTTTATAGATTCTATTATTTTATTTTTATCTTTATATGAATATCAAGGACATAATTAGAATAGCTATTTCTAAAGATAAAAAAGACAAAAAAGTCTTGAAATATGACTAAGAACTAGAAAGGCATTGACAAGAGTGAAGAAGGCTTCACTCTTATTTCCATATATAAATTCTCTTATGTGCATTCATTAATATCATATCTATATTAATGAACAAGATATTCCAATCTATTTTAGCACCACCTTGAATTTAAGACTTCTTCTACTTCAAAATCTTAATTATTATCTACTTCTATAAGAAAAAGTGGTATTTGTCTTCTTTCCAAGATATTCAATGTCTTAAATGGCTCAAAAAGAGACACATTGAATACAAGATAGATCTTCATAGACTTTGATAAATGTAATCTATAAACAACATAATTGACTTTTACAAATAGAAAATGGTTCAAATCTACGATAATTCAACTTTGTCACAAAAGTAGATAATCTTGATATTGTGACAAAGTAATCATATCTTAACTTCTATATTGAATTGTAGTTGTTTCTTGCTTAGGTATTTATATTGATTTTTTATTGTTCTTGAGCTTTCTTTAACTATGCCTTTATTATTGCATGTAGTTCTAATAAATAATTTTTCAAATCTTTTGCCATAGGATTATCAACTTTTAAAAGGTCAAAAGTATCAAGTTGTGATTGATAACCATAATTGGCAAAGAAAGGTGTTTGTTAAGTAGGAGAATGTATCAAAGTATTATATACAAACTCTGCCAATGACAAAAGAATTTTTCAATCATCTTAATGATAATTAATAGTACACTTCAAATATTATTTTAAAACTTGATTACTTATTTTGTTTACTAATCAATTTGAGTATAAAAGATCAAAGATAGTTTTATATCCACCTTTAATATCTTAAAAACGTTTTCCAAAATCTTAATACAAATTGTATGCCATATCTAATATAATATCTTTTGACAATCTATGATTGGTATATATGTTATCAAAGAAAATCTTAGTTGTTTCTTCATTCATAATAGATTTTGTAAATAGTATAAAATATACCATTTTGGTGAAGGAATCTACAATCACATATATAGAGTCATATGAACTTCAACTCGAAAGATTTATAATAAAATCCATAGAAATAAAAGACCATGGTTGTTTTTGAAAAGATAATGGTTGAAGAAGTCCATAAGGTTGATAATAAGGAGTTTTTGATCTTGAATAAATGTTATATGATTATACAAAGTCTTTTATATCTTTTTACATTTGTGGCCACCAAAAATCTCTTGATATTAGTTCCAAAGTCTTGATATATCCAAAATGTCATGTCATTGAAAAGTTGTAACATATTTGAAGAATTGTCAAAGACATGAATTAAAAGAAGATGCATAAACCTAAAAAATATATATTAGAAGAAAAGTGACAAAATAGTAATAAAGTAATATGTATATTAAAAAGAAACTAAAATAGCTATTGCCAAAAGATAAGGAAATTAGAGACTCTTAAATCTAGATTAGAAGTAAGAAAGGAGTTGACAAGAGTGAAGAGGGCTTCACTCTTGCCTCTATATATATTATCTAAATAGGAGCTATATGGCGATATTCTATAAGACATCTAATATGTGTTGACTTTGCAAGATACATGCTTTACCTTACAAAGCAAATTTTTTATGTATGGGCCACATATTTAGCTTGTTCTTCAAGCTACCAACATGTGTGGTACATGATCAACTCGTTGACTACGTTTTTAATCTAAAAATTCAATTATAGATACCTATAAAATCAAAGTAGCATCTATGAAGCTTCTAGGAAGCTATTCTAAAAGACTTTATGAAATTAATCTATATTTATCTACTTTTATCTAAATCATATAGGTAATTATTGATTTACATGTGTGTGTCCATGATATTATCTCCCTTTTTAAGGATGAGTACTACGAAGAACGGTCTTTATATATTGAAGAAATTTAAGATGCAACAAATTATATTTGTCACATATTTTGATCTTTGTTCTCTTCAAAGATAGTTGATAGGTCTTCTTAGCCATCGATAGTGTTCCATATCAAGGCAAAAAGACCACCCTATTATTTGTTCATTGTTGAAGCCTCTATAACTTCCTTCAAATAAAATATTTGGAACATTGTCAGGAATTGTTTCCACTTCTAATAAAATCATCAAATATCAGAAGTCTCTTCTAAGGTTGTGATACCAAATACATTATATCTGGCCACCTATTTGAGGTAAGACATGTCATTTTTGAGGATCTTCATCTTGATTTTTTTATCTTGAAGGTTGTGACAATTACAATGTCTTGTTTGGTAAGTCCGCAAATAAAAGCTCTTGAGCTGAATCTGGTGGTTGTTGATTCTCCATCTTCTTAGCACCACAAATACACAAAAGCTACAAAGAAAGATAGAAGGTGAAATTCAATCTTTCCTAGACCTTGTTTCTTTTATAGAAAAGACTTACTATTCCTCATCTTATTTAAGATGAATGTTGTCGATGAAAAGCCTCCACCTCTTTTGTTGTATTTATAAGATTATTTACTAGCTTCTATGTATATTCATTGTATCATATCCATACTAATAAACAAGATATTTCAATTCATTTCAGTGCCACCTTCAGTCTAGAACTTCTTCTATTTCAAACTCTTTATTATTGTCTACTTCTATAGGATGAGGTAGAGCTCGTCTTCTTCATGATATGTTCATAGTCTTGTATGGTTCAAAAAGACACATGTGGAAGACATGATGGATCTTCATTGCCTCCAATAGATGTAATCGATAAGCAATTGGATTAATTTCTCTACAAATAAAAAAAAGTCCAAGCTTAAGGTAGTCCAACTTATCACAAGGATAAGTAATCTTGATATTACGATGAAGCAATTATACCTTGTCACGTACATTGAATTATGGTTGTTCTTTTTGATAGGCATTTACATTGATATTTTATCGTTCTTGAGTTTTTTTTAATTGCACCTTCATTGTGGCATGTAGTTGTGACAAAATTTTTGTCAAACATTCTGCCATAAGATTATCAACTTTTGAAAAGTCAAAAGTATCAAGTCATGGATGATAACCATAATTGGCAAAGAAAGATATTTTTTACTTAGAAGAATACACTGTATTATTACAAGCAAACTCTACTAATGGCAAGAGGATTTTTTAATTATCTTGTTAATAATTGATGGTACATCTTGTCATGGCCATAATCATGTAAGCTAATAATTACATATACAAATAGGTAGAAGTAAGTAAAAGTAGGTAAAAGTAAGTTAATTCTATAATATTTAATATAGAAGCTTCCTAGAAACTTCCTAGACGCTGCTTTGACTTCATAGGTGTCTTTAATTGACTTTTTGGATTAGAAACGTGGTCAACAAGTTGGCCATGTGCCACACATGTTGTTAGCTTAAAGATCAAGCTAACTATGTAGCCCACACGTAGAAAAACTTGCCTTGTAAGTCAAGGCATGTGTCCTA